ATACCCAAAACCTTTCCAAAACGGTGCATAAACAACCCCGAAATGATACTCTTAACGCCTCCAAAACAACTTAAAACAGTGCTAAAATGGTGACCAAACCGGTGAATAAAACAATCCCAAAACATTCCAAAACATTGTGCGTTTAAATTGTGACAAAACCTCCCTAAAAATGTTCAAAGAGTTGCAGCGAAACCAGTCTAGACTAGTCCCAAAACAGTGACAAAACCTTCCTAAAAAGGTACCAAAAAAATTGCAGCAAAACCAATCTAAACTAGCCCCAAAACAGTGACAAAACCTTCATAAAAGTGTACATTTAAAGCTCCAAAAACTGCAACAAAATTAGCCCAAAACAGTCCCCAAAACACCCAAAACAATCCCCAAAACATCATTTTAATTATCCTCCAAACAACATTAAAACAACAAGTAAATCCCCCCAAAATCAACATTTAAATGGGGCACAAAGCCCTTCAAGAACAGTAAATGAATCAACATCCGGGTGGCATATAAAGTCTCTGAAACCAACAATTTATAGTATCCAAACGGTGAAAAAGTCAAGGCAACACAGTAAGAATGACAACTTAGAACGACATTCCGATTCTTCTTCACTTCAAAACAACGATAATACCGAAAATCCGGTCAAGAAGAATCGAATAAAGATTTGCATGCAATCCCCACAATTCCTATGCGTTAACATATCTCAAAACTAAACTTCAATTCTTACATTTATACCACCCAAATCTTTCATATTACATCCAAATATCATGATTCTATCCTTAAAAAGTTGAAATACACATTTTCATGTAAATGCACAAAGATTGAATGGTATGCATGTAAATATGGTTGTTTAGGTGCTAGGAATGTAAATACCTAAGAATTGTGTGGTATGTGTGTAAGAATTAAAGTCTAGGTGTTAGATGAGTGGTAAGTATGTAAATATTCCAGGCAATTGAGTAGTAATTATGTAAATGTTCCATCAATAAACATCAGCATTGCTCTATACTTTCCCTCTATTGACAGGAAACATAATTCTGGTAAAACTATAAATAAAAGAAAATCATAATTAAATGGAATAAGCATTGCCTGAAAAATTCTTTACCCAACTGATATTGTTTTGCTTCAAAAGGCTCAACTTCGGCTCGGCGGTCGCCAGGTACCCGGACATAAGGAGATTTTCGAGCAGCATTCAACCCATCTGACGCTGTTTCGGCGAGAGCACGGCAAGGAATGGGAAATAAGCCGCGGAAGGGATCACCAACGTGGATGAGATCGCTGGCAAGGAGGTGAAGTTGGGTCGGCCAAGCAGGTGAGGGTTTTGTTTGAGTCGGGCGAGATCCTCGGCGCAGAGAAGGAGAGGCGAGCGTGGGTTTTCGGTGGAGTGGGAGCTTCGGTGCTGAACTTCTGTCGAGAAAGTGGAAGGGGACGACTCGAGCGATCTCGAGGCAAGGCGGGATTAAGTAGGCTCAGATTCGTCGTGAGAGGAAGATGGAGTCGAAGCAGGCGTGCGGGATCGACACAGAGAGGAGGCGAGCGTTTCAGTACATGGAGGAGTTGAGCGCGTGGGGAAGGAGGAGGTTTCGTTCGATGCTGCGGGGGTCTTCGGCGCAGAAAGATCGCTGCGAGGGAGATGAGCAGGAGCGAGCGGGCTTCGGCACAATGGGGAGAAATCGAGTGCTCTTGTCGAGCGGGATCGAACACGAGGAAACCTCCTAGCAGAGCGTCGAGATTGAGCGTAAGGCGGAAGAGGAAGTCGAATCATGTCTTTCTCCCGAGGAAGAAGCCGACGTCCCCTTTAGAATAGGAGTGGGCCGAATTAATCCAAGGAGCCGTTACATTGACGGGGAATTAAAAGACTTCCTTTCAGGCAACCAGCTTAAATGGAAATATTTAATGGGGGATTAAATCATAAATTTGAATTTTAAAATTTGAAATTTGAAATTTGCGGGCTGAAGTAATTATTAGGCCATGTCCAGCCTGAATCGAAACCAAGTCGGACCTGGGTTGAACCCGGGCCCACGCACCGCTAAAAAAATGCATTGATATCTGTGCTAGTCGCTCGCGCGCGAAATCATAACAAAACGGGTGTCCTTTCTAGCTAAAGTTGACGTTTCGGACGCGTTGGCGTGATCCGTTTTGTCATCCGGGGTCGTCCGGACGAGTTCGCCGACGGGCGAGTCGATTTAAGACAAAGTCGTGTGTGGTGCAGGGAGTGCATGAATTGCGGCGTTCACGAATAATTCAGTCATAAAGGGTTAACCCAAGGCTATTTGATCCAATAGGAACTCAATTTCGGGCCCTTCACATGTTGGTTTTTAGCCCTTGCAACTAAAAGTTGAGTGCTTGGAACCACTCATGCGAGTTCTTCACAATTACGGGAGGTGGGCTCTATTACTAGTCCGCTAGGATGGTCAATAAGAACTCCTAAAGCTAGATCCTAGGTTCTAAGAGTAGGAGATTAAGACCTCACTAAAAATGAGGTCAATAACCGCTCGTTCATAAAACGATGGTCTTGTGCCATAAATGTTAGACATCAAAGAAAAATAAGAAGTGGCTAGAATTTCTAAAAGGGTGGGTCCCAATTCTAGTTTTCTAAGACGATTAATAAGAACTCCTAGGGCTAGATCCTGGGCTCTAAGCAGGAGAAGAAAAGACCTCACAAAAATGAGGTCAACAGTATGCTCTCTTATCGTGAAATTTCCAACACTTGTTCTAAGTGTGGTTGGGCTTGTGACAGTAATCACAAATGGGGTGATCGGTTTGACGTGCCATGGACGAGGGTTGAAGAAGTAGAAACGTCGAGCATGACAAGTCTCCTGCTTCGCTACAAAGCTTGGTAAAAGCAACACGAGTGGAAGCAAGAGGATCCTGATCGAGAATACAACCTCGAATTTCATCAAGGTCTTTGTTAAGGTTGACAAGAAATTGAAGTGTACGATTCTTTTTTACTATCTTCTGGAAGAAGGATAAGTTGGCCAGAGAATCCCAAGTATAGTTGTAATATAGGTCACATTCCATCTATAATGCAAAAATGTCTTGACCCTTGTTTTGTCTCCGGATCTTTTTAGATAGCTCATAGAGTTGGCCGATATTTCCTACGTTTTAGTAGGTATTATGGACAACCGTCCAGATAGCACTAGCTGAAGGGAGGAATTTGTACGAATGACCAATTGATATTTCCATAGAGTTGATCAGCCATGACATGACTATGGAGTTCTCTATTTTGCAAGCTCCATATGCCCGATCAGTCTTTGAGGACTCAAGAATCATACCTGTGAGGTGATAATACTTCCCACATCCTTTGATGAATAACGAGACCACTTGAGACTATTGGAGGAAGTTGCTGTCGTTCAACTTATGAGTTATGATAAAAAAATTCATTTTGGCTTGCAGTCCTCCGGTCTGTACGGGAGAGGGGTTTGGAGTCGATCCATCGTTGGAGTCAAGAACGCCTTCTGAGGGTGATTCATTGAAATAATCAGCCTTAATTTCGACTGAGTTAAATGATATGTCATTGTGGTTCTGTGCCATCGATGAATTTCTATAGAATCAAGACAAATAGATAAAGCTATAGAAATTGCAGGTAGCAGGACAATTACATGAATACTTAAACAACAATATTGTAGGGATTGCAGGTTGCTGGAATTGCGAGATTCCTTGAACAGACAACAAAATAGGAGACTCCACTGGACAGGAACCTGCAGGAATTACTCTCGCAGATTGCAGGGCGGCTGTAAACTGCAGGAATAGTGAACACCTTAAGAGATCTGGTGGAATAAGAGCAATCTGGCTGTTCGCATTTGAACTAGAAGAAACTTGTTTTGCAGACAGAAATAATAGTAATTCTGCAGACAGGAGAAACCATGAAACCTTCTGAAATTCTTGTTTTTCGCAGAAGCCGGCTGTTTGTTGGACCTAACTGAGAAGGACACTGGCTAGGATGAGGAGGTGGAGGCGGTGGCGGTGGCGGTGGCGGTGGCTGCTGGAACCGGTCGAGGCCGGGGGATGTTGGATCTAGGGTTTGGCTTTGATACCATGTTGAGATTTGGAATATACTAGCACAATTTTACAATAGAAGAAGGGGTATTTAAACCCAATTACAATAGACACACCAAATGGAAGAAATAAACATAATAAAATAAATAGGAAAGGAGTAAAACATAATAAAGCAAAAAATGAAATACATGATGAGGGAATTTAAAACTAATAGTTAAGAAATAATAAGTAATAATGACTAAGGGGGAATTTAAAATTAATAGTTAAGAAATAATAAGTAATAATGACTAAGGATTTGATTGCCGTTATAAATTTGATACTAATCAGTATGATTATGAGTTTGTATTCAAATTATTCAAAGAGTGACGCAAAATTATATGTCAATACCCTTTTTCTCTATTGGCATGTTTTCTCTGTAGAATTTCCTGATCCTAATATTCTATTTTATGTGTCCACACTTCTAGTAGTCATCATGTCTTAGAAGACCTCTACGACTGCTGAGATGTAGTTGTATTCAGCGGGCACTGGAAAATGAAACTTTTCAACTCCTTTGCATTTTCTGTTCATGGATTGAAACTTTGCGTAGCCTAGCAAGGACTCATTTTTATGTGGTCCTAACAATTCAATATGACAAAGCTATACTAAAAAACAATGGATGTAAAACTCCATTATTAATTACAGCTAAATTACATGTATGGTGTTTGATAATAGTAGCCCATATTTTTATTTTAAAGTGATTTTCTTCCTGAAAATTTATTATCAACTTGTTGTTTTTTTTATTAATTTCTATGGTGACTTTGATTTATATGCGATATCTTTATCAAATATCATAATAAAATGTTTTAGTGTTCATATTGTTTTGATTATCTTTTTTTGTTTATAAGATATTGTAGTCATATATGCTGCTCGGATGACTGCCTGGTTTTGAATGGGTGTATAGATACTGTAGATTCTGTAGAGTACATATGTATCTATTCTGCTACAAAATCTGATGCTTGTTATATTTACAGCCTTGTTCAATGGGATTTGCAACCGGTGGGAAGACCATTTTCTTGTGGGGAGGCTGTATGATGGTAAAATTTCAGAAATTTCATTTAACCATGTCCTCGTTTATATGTCAAAACTGAAGTATATCTTTTCTATCCCTTATTCCATTGGCTTTACCCTTAAAGATGCACGCAGAAGATTTCAGAAAGGATGCATATGGCGTTGTCACTAAACTTCGAGATGGAGGATACTCAGATGACATGACTCTTGCTGCAATAGCTGGTAGTGGTTTTGTCTCTGAATGCCTTTTTTTTTTCTTTTTTTCATCAGACAGCATTTTTTTTTTCTTTTCATCACACTGCATCTTTTTGTTTCTTCCAAAATGTTTTCTCCTCTTATTTTTATATAGAAAAGAATATCATTACATAGTTGGCTACTTGTGTCCATCTTCTAGAGTTTTAGGTTGTGATTACTTTTATTAGAAGGGTTTTAACGTGACATACTACCGTTTCATTAGCTACTTCGATAATGTTGTATATCATCCCTCTATGAGTTATTTATATTTTTTATTTTTTTTAATTTACATTGAGTGAATGGGAATGTAGTGCGTGCCCTTTTTTTGGGCGGTTGGAAACATTTTTTGTTTTACCCAAGCAGAATGTGCAAGATGGAAAGATATTGAAATGTGAACTATTATTCTTATTCTTCAATATGAAAGCTTAATAAATTTTAAACTTCTTACAATTTCTAGAAATTCTTGTTGTATGATTATGGGATTTGTTTTGTTTGTTCACAGGTTTTGGGCTTTGGTATTTGTAGGGCTAAGAAGGGATGGTCATTGGGGTTTAGGTTTTGTATTAAGGATTTCAGTTTCAGTTAAAGTATTAAAGTGCGATCAATACGTTGATCACATGTATTGCTTGGATGAGTGAAGCAGAAATCAATAAATAAAAATAAGTGGCAGAATGCTCCTTTTTCACACTTCCTGATCTTGTATATAGTTGTTATTGCGAAACTCTTACATCAGAAAGCAGGTTTGAGGAGATTTAAAATAAATAATTTTTTGATGTGATCCATTCTTAAGTTTGAAGAAACAATATTTGTTGCTAGTCATCCTCTACGTGATTGCTTAGTGAAAGAGTTTGTGGGCTATATGTTGTTGATATGCATATCTAGTTTAGGAAACTTGGATCCGCTATCACATTTGAGAGGGAGAAATTATTCTACCTTAATTATCCATTATTGTGTTTTTATTTATTGTCCCTCCAATTTTAGGAGGGTTAGTCCGAGCTGTATTTATATGTTTGTTGTTTATTTAATGAGAAAATTAGAGAGTTTATTCCTGCTAAAAATTGAATTAAAGCAGTATAATTAATTTCATGAGACCCGAGGCACTGTCTTCTAAAGAAATTAATTAAAGCATTACAATTAATGACTTATTACGGATTGTCCGCGTCTTCTATAAATATTTTCTTTTCTATTACTCATCTTTTAATCATTTAATTACATCTGAAAAGTTAGTTTTAAACAACAATTAGCTAATTAAAACCAGTGAATACACACACTCTTAAACTGTAGTGATACAAAGGAAAAGAATAATATACATGTCAATTAAAATTTTAATAAATTAGTATAAAACATTTAATAGTTTTGGAATATAATCACTCACGATATTTCATCATATTCAATGTATTTAACTATATAATTAACATATCTATATTATTTTATGTCTGTACAACTGTCACAGGAGCACCGTCTAAAATTTGTACTAGTTAATGTACTTCAATATAAATATTCTTTTTCATTTACGCGCACGAGTACCTTAGCATTTCCCCGCTAGTACTATAAAGGAGTGACTCTATCATAGTCAAACATGCACATGTAAACATACTATAATAAACATTATCTAGTAATGATTCTTTCATTTTCATTTGTATAGAAGTCAACATACTTGTACACGAATCAATATCTATTTAAATCATAGTGGGTATACATATCACTCCAACAATATGAACAAAATTCAATAGAACCATAAATCATCGGTATCCAGTGCTATGCATATAACAGTAACAGTAAGTGCGTTTGGTCGAGAAGAAACAAAATATTATTATAGCATAAGAATTTGAGTACCCATCTCTGGTCTTAAATCTATGTCGGCACAAAAAAGTAAGGAAGAAAGGTTGTTTGGGGTGGTCGCCCGTAAGAAGTGTCGGCAGCCGGAATTGAAATCCTATCGCCCGCTTCGGAAGGACGTTTTAATTTACGTATATATATGTATATAATTTTAGAAAAATATAAAATCAAACTGACCTCATATTTTTCACAGTTTAAATGAAAGAGCACTCTACCTCAAATCTTGTATCTACCCCGAGGGATAAACACAAGGCTTGAGGGTGAGACTCGATCAAATAAACTAAGAAAACATATGATATCCGTTTGGGTCTGCGAAACCGTTTTATTTGCCGACAAGTTCCCCTATTTAATACAAATAATTAAATAGGGTTTATTTTAAGCTGGGTTCGGAAAAGCTTCCTATAAGGGCAAACCCCTATAGTTAATTACATCTTAAATGACCGAAGTCACCTAAGAAAACTCTCGATAAAAATCAGGG